AATTTAATTATTTCTCAATTTATGTGAAAACCTCCAGACAACTAAATTGAAACGAAAAGAATATTTATCTTTTTCTATTTATCGGGATTACTTTTTTTTCGGAGTCAATTAAATAGAAAAACATACACCTACAAAGATTAGGAAAAATAAGTAAAAACTTTTGCAAATTGGTCTTGCAGAAACATGATTTATTACATCTTACCTTGATATATTTTTCTTATATATAGTGAAATAAGTAAGGTTAATAGGAAAAATCAAGTAGTTTTTTTTTCTAAATTTAGAAAGAATTTGTAGACAACTCTAGGACGATTTGAACCCTATAAAAATGGCTGCAAACGCCAAGCGGCGAGTATTGATGGCAATCAAGCCCGGCCCTGGCAAGAAGTAAAGGAAACATGTGCTTCCGGCCGTCCTTTTAATAAGATCTCTCTCCCAACGTCATAGCTTCCATTCACAGTGTGTTGATGAAGAGTCTAGCCTCGACCTCCTTTCTTCCGGAGCCACCAGATCTGCTTCCTCCGGAGCCCTCACCACCACCGAACCCCCGTATCCTCCCGATCCTTCACCGGATACATCTCCACTGAAAATATCGTTTCCCGAAGTTGCTCCGTCTCCTCTTCCACAAGGCGGAACTACTAATGGCTCCGAAGCTCCTCTTAGTGGTGGTATTATAGGAGTTGCTCCGTCTCCTTTTCCGCAAGGCGGAATCACTAATGGCTCCGAAGCTCCTCTTAGTGGTGGTATTATAGGAGTTGCTACATCTCCTATTAGTGGTGGCATTATAGAATTCGCTCTGTCTCCTATCTCAGAAGGCGGAACAACTAATGGTACCGAAGCTCCACTTATTGGTGGCATTATAGGAATTGCTCCTGCACCTGAAGGCGGAGAAGCTCCTGCCACTAACGATAGTGGAGCTCCTATTGTTATTATTGTCCCTCCTGCCCCGGAAACAGAAGTACCTTTGACTACTAACAACTTTGAAACAGAACTTATCATCAATGCGAAAGGAAGTGAAAATGGTAACCATGATGGGATTGGGAGCGATGAGGAGCCTCGTGAAAAGCTAAACATATAAAGTGTATAATCTCTTTAGTTGTTATTATTAAAAAGGTTGCTACCTGAGACTATATCATCCAACTAGGTCACTCCACTGCAAAAAGAGGGTGTAATACATCATTTATTTTATATATTTGTATCATTTATAATTGATACAAATAAAATTTACATCATTTACATAAATGACTCTGATAATGGTGATGCAAATATTTTATATCGCTTTAAAAGACCGATATAAATATTTTCATCAGTTGTCATAATTGATGTGAACTTGTATCAGTTGCAGAAAATAATATTAAATTTTGCATCAGTTCTAGAAATGATATTAATATTTTCTACGGGTAAAACAATTGGTATAATGGTTGGATCAATTTTAAATCGATGTCATCATTATATTAGCAGTAATTAATTGAATGATATAAAATTCTTAAGATGATTTAATCAACTAACGATTCTAGAAATATTAATTATGGACTCCTTAATTTTAGTTGCCTACAACCTTAATAATTGGCTGATCCACTGTTATATTTATCAAAGGATTCTTCCTTCAACTATTTTGAGAAATTTCAAAAAATACCATTTTTTAAGTGTCACTTTACAAAAATATCACACTTTTGAAATCTTTACAAAAATACCACATTTTCAAAATTATTTTTTTTATCTTATTTATGTTTGGGTTAATTATGTTCTATTAGAGTTTAGTTTTGAGTGTTTAGGGGGTTTTAGGTGTCAAAAAATTTT